AAGGCTCGGGCAGCGTTTGATGCTGGCTTCGTAAACATCATTGTCCAGATAAAGATGAAAGCAGGTGGAGATCCGAGTGCTCTCTTTATGTGACTGTATTCTCCTCCAGAGAATGGTAGTGCAGTCCCCAGCTCTGCGTAACAGAGGGAACCCATCAGAGATATTACTCCACTGGCAGTCCAGATGCATAGCGCAACACCCACGTTAAGTAAAGAATACTGTAGCACTCCTGTAGGAGACACAAAGATCCCTGCACCAACTATGCTACCTATTATAAAACTCACCCCATTAAAATACCCTATTGTTCTTTTGAGTTGCATCCCATCATTTTCATTTCTTTTCTCTTCTTTTACATGGTCATTCCTTCCTTTTCTCATTTTCTTGGTCTTTTTGCAGTTAAGATCTATGGCTGTAAAGGTTTGAGAATGCTCTTTTGCCTTGCTTGTTGTTATTCAGAAATGGTCATGATCTTACTTGCTAGTGAAAGGCTATCTTGGTGAATCTTAGCTTAGTCATTCAAAGGAAAAAGCTTATTCTGTTTTGTTGATGTGTAACGTATAAAGATGATTAACAAAGTCCTATGAGAAATGCTGGCAGCTCTTCATGTAGCAAACAGCTATTCATGTAATATACTTGAGTTAACTGTGTAGTCATGGCAGCCAAGACCTCAGTGCTAGCAAGCTGTATTAGTACTTTTTAGAATTCCAGGCAGGAACTAACTATTATTGGTACCCACCAGAAAAGCTACCTAACAGAAAGATACACAAGCTGCAGTCATTCTCTATGTAACTACAGTGTAGATTTATCCATAGAAAAGTAAACTAATTTATTGTCTCGCGTGTGAAGTATATCTAAAAAAATATGAAACTCTATTAAATGATGTTATATAGTTGGCCTGTACAGCTGTAATCCATCTCTCTTCTGCATATGGATTATGACATTATTGTTAATTGCATGATCACACACTATTGTTTCTACATTTGTTACACAAAATAGACAGTTTTGACTCAAGGTTCAATTGCCTTGATTCTGACATTTCCTAACCTTTGTTTGCTTGACTTTGCAGCCTCAATTTTCTTTTAATGAAGTTTGTATATATGTGTGTATGTGCACGTACAATTCCTTATGCCATTGATTCTCAACCAGAGTGTAGTGACGTATTATTAAGTGTTACCCAATATTAGTACTGTTAGGTATAACACCTGCACATGATGCACAAAATAAACCCAGAGATTTCAAACAGGAATCCATACTGTCAAAGATATTTTGACATGTTGTGGTCTTCCTGAGTGTTTTGCAGTAGAAGAACTGCTCTATTATTTTTCTGTAGTCAAGTAATGAGTAAAAGCTAAGAGCTGAGATTCTCCAAGGGCTGCCTTTAATCTAAAAAGGTTGAGAACCACAGGCCTAGGCCGTTGAGAACCACAGGCCTAGGCCTTCAAAATGAAAATTGAACAACAGAAATTTCATCATGTGACATCTTATTGGTCCCTACATGTGTCATCACATGAGCAAAGTTAAAAATCCATTATACAGATCTCTGCATCATTAAGCTAATATGGTAATTAATGATAGCATGTGGCAGGGCACTGTGTGTGCCTGTCACTTTAAGTCCCTGGAGCTGGCAGCCTCCAGGTGCCTAATGAGGGCAGCCATTTTAGGCTCAGGGCTGCCTATATAAACAAGGCAGTTTGGCTGCTGGAGGTCAGGCAACAACATTGTCTGGTTTGAGGGCTGCTGAGTTTTATCTGGAGGTAAGGAAGGAGCTGTAGGGGATGGCAGGATGCTCCTGGTCCTGGGTATGACCTAAAGCTGCACCCTTCTGAGAGTGGGTGGCCTGGTGGGGCTCTCAGTGGCACGGAAGCCCCCAGGATATGCCAGGCCAGTTACCACCCTGGTGAAAGGTGGATTGAGGCACCTTAACCCCTAGCCCCCACCACTGGGTGGGTAACCCCTTGTGTTTGGAGGGCCTGGAGGGCAGACCCTGAAAGAGAGAGTGAAGGGCTAGGGACTCAGAGACTGAATGAGAGAGTATCCTTGACTGGCCCAGGCTGGGGCCAGGACCAGGACAGTCAAAAGGGCCAGGGGCCCACCCTGAGGGACACTGAAGAGCTGGAGGCCTGGGGTCCTGACTGGTCTAGGGGTGGGCCAGGGCTAGAGGAGCCAAAAGTCCTGGGGGAGGACCACACCCAAGAGGGGAAAATAGATTCAGGGAGCTACATAGCCAAATGAAGGCAGGGAGGCTGCCTGAATGGAGGGATCATGCAGGGGTCCTGGTAGAAGGATTCTGGGGCCCAGAGTGGGGCCAGTGATTATGTGAACATTGAGATGCCATCAGCAAGGCTTGGGTGGCGGTGTAGGGTACCCAACAGAACTTGATCCCAGGAGAACTTCTGGGAGAATGAATGCCTGTACACTTAACTCCTCCAAGGGACCAGGAGGAGTTGAGCAGTGAAGGAATGCTCCTGCACCTCCTCAAGAGCAGACCAGACTCTGATCAGAAAGGGCACTGCGTATGAGGCAGTCTGACCAGAATGGTAGTCACACTACATGTAATGGCTGTTGGCTTTGGATTTTGGACCCAATGGCCATGTTCTGGGGGTGGGACCCACCCGGAGGGGGAAAGACCCACCCACCCTCAGACTGACCATGACATTTCTGCTCAATAATAGGCAAATGTATTGATACCCACTGATAACAGAAAAGGAGAAACACAAACAATCAAGCAGTTCTATATATTTACCAAATCCTAGAGCTGTCCTCAGAATCAAAATACGTCTAGCCAGGAGGCAAAAAGTCTCTTAGGTGTCAAATGGCAGCATGTGAGCAGTCTGGAGGTGGGATGTAGAGGCCTACACTCCCCCTCCAGTGGGGTGGATGAGACATACTGGTGGTGTACCCTCTTTCCATAGTGGCCTCAGGGACCCTTCCTGGGGGACAGGGATGTGGAGAAGGAAGACCCAGGTGGGACCGGAGAGAAGGGACAGGAAGGAACCCAGGTGGGACAGAGGGGGGCCCTTTGTTACTCTCAAGTCTCTCTTTTGCATTCTCCTTCCTTCCTGATGACTCTTCATCCATGACTATCACTGGTTCTTCCCTCTATGTGGTCAAAAGTCCATGTCCTGTGTTGTCACACACTCCAAGGCCATTATGTGCACACATACTAATTTGGTCTTTCCAGGCCTCCTCCTAATTTGGTTTTTTCCCCCAAAACTGGGACTCTGGCCTGCTCTGGGGCCTTCTTAACTGGTACCATCTTATCTCATGTTATGGACAATGTAGTACATGTCCCCCTCTTTCCTAGACTGTTTTCCAGAGTGTCCTTGTTGGCCTTGTTGTGTTAGAGCCTGTCTGCTTCCAATGCTATGTAAAACTGTGTGACCCAGACTCTTAGAAATCATTAAGCCCCTGCTTCCCATCCTGAACCATTCTAATGCATATACATATACCTATAATCCAATTCCTAAAAACAAACTTCTAAATACCATTTCTAAGCCAACAATAGCCACCCCAGCTGCACGGTGCCACACACAATGCCTGCTCTGAGATGCATGCTGCACATGCCACTCACTCCATCTGTTCTTGGCCCCATGCTGCATGCAGAACTGGCAGGTGCCACAAGCAGTGTAGTTCTGGACTGGCTGGAGCAGGCACTGTGTCCAGCACAGTCCAGAGCTGCCAGGGAAGATGACATATTCAACATGGCTACCACTCTGGCCAGACTGAGCCAAATGTAGCACCCACTCCAGCTGCTCCAGGATCCCTGCCCCATGCTAGTAATTTGGCCCTGCAAGTTTGACACCTGTACTATAAACAATTTAGTTGTCTTAATTATTCAGCAAATATATAGGAGCCCAAGGACTACAGGGAGTATCAAAAGAAAATGCATAGTTTTCAAAGCAGAGTCATGGGCAGTTAATTGTCTTTAGCAGCTTCTCAAAGACTGTTACATGTGATGCTATGTTGCTGTAGCAATGCACCACAGTGACATAGCATCCACGGGCAAAACCCATGACACTGCAGCTACAATGCCGTAGTGATATGCTCCCCTGTTATAGCATGTCACTAAGATGTATAATGCCTAAAAACAACCATGCACAGTGCACGTGGTGCAATACAAGCTGTTATTGCACTGTCTTTTAGTACTTTGAATAGGATAAATGATAGTGCAGTAAGCGCTAAATGATAGCGCAGTAACAGTAGTGCCATAGTGGCATGTGTAGACATGCCCAGAATGATATAAATGGTTGACAAAAAGTAATTGCATGCATGCTTCCCCCTACCCTTGTTTTTCAGTGTACCTGTTGATCAGTATGATCATCAACAATTGATGATCATAAATCTTTACAATTTCCTTCTCAGTTTAGTAAGTGGCCTCCTCAAAAAAGCTTGACGGGCCTTCAAGGAGTTCCTAAGCCCCACTGGAGAGAAGTCAGTTTGCTATCAGCCACATTGTGTTCTATGGTGTATTCAAACCATTTTCTTTAGAAAATGGAATTGAACCTTGGGGGCATGTGACACTTAATCTACTGCCTTGGCAATTTTGCTTCTTTTCTGGTGCTCTGCCAAAATTACCGTACAGCTGCCTTTTACTAAGGAACTTACGAAACTACACATTTTTCTTGGCAGATGCCAGCTGTGCTATTCTGTTTGTATCTTTGCTAAGGAAAACCATAGTAACAAATGTAGCTAATGCTAAAACAAGGAGTGTGAGCAAAACTGTTCCTGTACAGAGTTCAAACTCAGTTTGTGCCTTTTTCATACATAAAGAATATCTCCACCATCTGTCATTTTGAGAGATTTCTCTCTGAGCACTATATTTACTCCAAACCAAGATGAGGTTTTCCCTCCTGGCTGCTGCAACCACTCTTGCATTACCAGGCAGGGACCAAAGTCATCATGTGCTCTGTGGCCCAGCTTGGAGCAGAACTGGAGCCACAATGGAAAGTAAATGGAAGTGGCGGGGCAGGAAGAAGGAGGTGGAGCCAAGTCAGTGGTGAGGGGGATGGTCACAGGTATGATAGGAGGCAGACACCAAGAGGGGGGAAAATGCCAGGAGTTCTAGGCACAAGGGAGGGCAGCCATCAGGGGAGAAGGCAGTGGAGCAGGGCCAAATGGTGGCAGGACAGGCAGCGGGGATCAAGGTGTGGGGTGAAGGAAGGGATAGGAGAATAAATGCCAATTTTTATTTTTGCCAGCAGGGCATGTGGAAAGTTTTATGCATTTCCAGTGGACATGTGGAAAGTTTTACACATTTCAGGTGGCAACCCTCTTCCTGAGAGGAGCCAGGGCCCTTGGGTAACCACATACTCAGCACCTCAGCAGAGGTCAGGTGTCACAGGCCAGCTGGACACTGTGAGTATATCAATTTAGTTGCAGACTGACCAAGCACTGCAACTCTATTAGCCACTGGGTTTTTTGGTTCAGGATCAAGGAGCTCATGTTGGGAAGAAAACAATGACAAGTTTCACTTATTAAAAAAAAGAATGAATTTTACTTATAATAA